GCCGCACTTTGCCGACCACTGGTGTAGGGCAAAAGTTCGCTGGGTGCTCAACGTGTTAATTACAGGTCTTTTTACTCTCCATCTCCAGCCTTACATTTTAATGAAGGAATTTTAATTTCTCTTTCAGAGCGAGCTAAGAGATTGCAAAAAGTGGAGGTTCAAATTATAAACAATACTATATGCACCACATGGTATTCGGAAGTTTATCATGGATTTGGAGACATCTACGATTATCAGATATGTGCTGGATACAAAGAAGGAGGAAAAGATGCATGCCAAGTAAGATTTATTTATTTATTTATTTGTGTGATAATTTTTAATCATAAAATAATGTAACATAGAACTTTCTATCTTGGGTGGATTACACTTAAAGTGGGAGGATTGATAATCTGTGCACATAATAACTTTAGTAAAAACAGATATTAAGAAATATATATTAAGAATATATATATATATATATATATATAAAGGACAAAGAGAAAAAAAAAGTACAAATAATGATGAGAAAAATAATAAAAAATTAATTTTTCTTATGTGTATCATTCATATGTATATATATTATATGTATATGTGTCTGGAAAAAAAAATTCGATTGCAATATTATCAAAACTCTTTAAATTTGCATTACACATTTATTATCTTGCAGGGTGACAGTGGTGGACCTTTAGTGACCAAAGTTGGTGACCATTTTACTCTTGTTGGTATTGTATCTGCTGGTGTTGGATGTGCTAGAAAACATTTGCCTGGTATTTATTCAAGAGTCACGGTATTTTTACCATGGATACAGAAAATTACTGGAGCTTAAGAGATAAGAATGTGTATTGTTCTTTGCAAATTATTCAATGAGCGAGCACAATCGAGTAATTGAATAGTAACAAATGGTGCTAGACTATACATTATTCGTATCCATGATTTTTCTTTTTGTAGAATTACGCTAAAACCAAAGATATCTGCTGCAAACTAGCAGAAAACCAGTATTGCCTGAAGAAATTAGTTCCAGCCACACCAAATCGCAGAGGTCAGTTTATGAATTAAAATTAAGTTGTTACGTTTGTAGAGACTCTAGCCATTCAAGTAGGAAGGTTAGTATTCTTTCAACTGAACCACATAAATTAGAGGTTTTGATTTCTTGTTAAGACTTAATGTTCAGAGCTAATTCGCATAGACATTGTATATAAATTACTTGTATATATTATTGGACATTTGTTTGAAGTTTTTATTTGTTCTTTATATTATGTATTTCCAATGCTATACCCCGTTATAATGCGCAAATTTTGCAAGATTTTTCACGAAATTAGAAGTGGGTATAAGAAGTCAGAACTAATAAAATGTTCCTAATGTTAGACTTTGTATGTAGTTTTTGAGGCTTTTTTGTATGTTTGTAAACTCTGTGTATTCAAGATTTGTAATAAAAAATTATGTATGTAGCTTGTATTTTTCATGATTTTAACATTTGTTAGGACTCTATCATCACATAAAAATATACCCTTTTTTATAGAATAATAAGCCACTTTTATAACTCTTGTGAGCAGTCAGGAATAACTGTTGTGAACTCCGAAATATCTTAGCACCATTGGGGTAAATAATGACTATAGCTGACAGTTAAAATGAATAACTGTGGCTTTTCTATGTATCTACGCGAAAGAATACAAAACTGACGCTTAAAATATAAATGCGAGGACACTTAAAACGTAAATGCGAGGACACTTAAAACATAAATGCGAGAACACTTTTTAGGCAAATGTACTATTTTTTTTTTTTTTTAAATGAGCGTCATTTTACCCACTCATTCAGTATGTAATTTTAAGCATATATGATGAAAGTTAAGTTGATTTAAATTTTGACCATTTTATTCTGAAAAATCTATACCAGAACATCATGTGAATATAATATGCTATATAAATGGCATCTGGCGACATGATGATAAGCCACACTTAAATTTGCTTAGATGTCCTCTTAGGGCCGAGCTTCTAGGTTTCAAGGTCAAAAAAGCTCCATTTAGTTATGCTTTTTTTTTTTAACTCTTACATGCCCAGCCGGGGTTGTAAGTATTCAATCAGAAATATCATTAAACTACGATTAAGAAACTTCCAAATTTTTTTCGAAAATCACCAAGATTTAAGATGTAGCGAATAAATAAATGTCACCAAACAAAGGGAAAGAAGGAAATTTGTTACATTTTATAAATAGTTATATAATTCCATAGTTATATAACTATTATTATATCAATAGTTATATAATTCTCATTTATATAACTATGGATAGTTATAGAAATGGGAATTTATTAAACTTGGCTTGTTTCTTTTATTCCTCTAGCCATGCTCATTTTTCTCTTTATATTAGAAAAAAATCACTGAGACTACCGTTGTTTTGAGTGTTCAATTTAACTTTGATTTGCTGCAATTTGTTCGAAAGTTATAGCAATTTTAAGTGCTTTATTTGAAAAATTTTTCTCACATTTTTCAATTTAAATTTTATTTTTCCGTGCAAAAACAATGTACAAGGAATTCGATGGAATTAAAAAGTTTATGAATCGATTATTAGTTCAAGAATAATTAACTGTTAAACCTGTAAAGTCCTTGTTGGCAGATCCTTGTTGAAAAGCAACTTATAAGAATTAAAATTTGAGGTTCGGATAGAACAATTGTTTTTTTTTTCATCATAAACAAGTATTTTTTTTTTTTTTTTGACATTTTAATTTTCTTGAAAGTTGTTGCAATTCTAAGTTCTTTTCAGCTTTTTTTTCTTTTTAATAATAATTATTTACCCATTGTTGCAGAAAAATTTATCTCTTTCGAGTAGAAGGAAATTAAATGTTGCCAGCAGATATAAATCTTAATATTCATAGCGAAATTTTTAAAATACTAAGACTGAAGAAGATAAAAACTATTTCCAATGTGAACTGTTAAATACGTGGGGTGTTTCACCGAATGTCTCTGCTTCCCCCTTTTCATGGGCATGGGGATGATCATCTCAACTAAGTCTAGGTTTTATTAACCTACTAGATTGGCACTCTTTTTCGCCCCAATGATGATGCCAAATGATGATCGCCAAAGAGGTGAGTTTATAGGAAGGAATGGCTCTTTCCTAAAACACAACCGGTATATTTGCTTATAGTCGTCTGCTGTCGAAGCAACACCTCCTAGAATAAGGAAGGCCTCAGCACGGATCAATTTAGTAGTCCGATGTGACAAAGTTAACTGCGCAGTAGATGAAAAATAAGAAAGATGTCATTACGTTCGGGGTACTAAGCTGCGCAGTGGTTGAAAATACGAAATATGTCATTACGTTTGGACTACTAAAGGATATTTATGGTAACCCGTGCAGAGGCCTACTCTTTTCTAGGAGGTGTTGGTCGAAGTACCAGGAGAATGTGTATATGATTCTCGAGAACTCTCATATTCTGAGGAAAAAAAGATCACAAGCTACGTTCCTGAGACGTTTACTTTATTAATGCATTTGCAGATAATTTCAATGGTTAAAACAAAAACTAAATCTCAAAACTTTCTATTAAAGTTTGTATCGTGAGCCATTTTTACTTTTTTTATTAATTTATTTTGTAATTAATTTATTCTATTATATTTGGTTTTGTTTGTTTATTACTTTAAGAAACAAGATTTTATTTCTAAAATGACATTAAAAAAGGTTATATCCTAAAAACAAGATATTACGCTGATCAAGGATCCTCTCCATCTGATTTGATTGATTTTTGCTTCTTGACACGAAAGTTTATTTTTTTATTTTAAGTTAAAACCATTCACTTTATAACTTCTTTGCAGACATCTTTGTTTCTGAAGAACTATAATTATTCTCCTGTTTCATTTTGTGCCGGTAATGAGCTTCCTAACCCGAATTAGCACACTTTATGAAATAAAGTATTCTATATTTTTCATTCGATTTATTTTTATACGATTCTAAACAGAAATATTATTTAATGTGCGTAAACATCTTGGCCTAGTCATTAAAAAAAAGCATCAAAAATAGACTTGTTTGAAATTATAACAATTTTAAGCAATATTAATTAAAAGCAATATTATTTGAATAATATTGCTTTTAAGCGTATTCAATGTCGTAGTTGATTATTGTTAGAAATATAAAATAATTACAAAAAATTTTTATCAGACTCTAATACTTTTACTTCAGATAACTCAAAAAGGAAATTGATTTAACTATGTTAAAATGGTGAAGGAGGAATTATGGAAAACTGATTTAATTATTCATAGTTGCAATTTAAAGTTTTCCACACCTGAAAATCTTACTCTAAGTGTAATAGAAAGAACAATTTGTCCATTTAGAATAAAATATTATTCCTTATTAAA